AAAAAAAAAAAAGTATTGAAGGAGTTAGGGCTAGCTCTCTAGAATTTCTTAGTTGGGGGAATTAGAGTGGATTTGAACAGGTGAACAAGAAAATTCAGTTTAAGAGAAATTAGGTCAGGTATCGTAGCCTGTACATGGGATGGATTTTGTTCCATTTGTACCTTCTTGACTTGCATCTGCCTTCTTGGTAGCTCTTATAAATGTTTATATTCTTGGAGTTTATTTGTGTCTTGATGTCTGAACTGAACAGCTGGGAGCAGGCCGTGCCAGGGTGCTAGGGTGATGGGAAGGCTGAGCTGGATTCCTGAGGGTCTGTGCAGGCTGTTGCCATCAGGAGATAGAGATAATAGGAAAGGATCTAGGATCGTTGCTAAAGTCATCAAGACTTAAGGACCCAGGCTTGGCAGTTCTTGGTTCAGACCCTTCATCCAGCAGACAACTCCTAAAAGAAATTTGGGGGCTCTGAGGGCATAGGTTATAACATCACTGCTCTCAGCAGGAGGATAAATGTGCAACCTTAACCCCACCTGCTCACCTCTCCTTTCTTTTGTGACATTCTATTTCTTTTATTTGTTGCCCACTGAGTTTTTTTCCCCCATCTACTCTCTTCCAAGCCAGTCAGCAAACTGGCAAAGAGGTTGGTGAAACAACTGGCAGCATCAGAAAGAGGAGACTCTTGGTGCTCAGCTACATTGTGTTACCAGCAATTGCGGATGAGAAAGGTCCAAGATGGAGCATAGAATCAAGCAGACAGTACCTGCTCTCTGCAGCTGACCCTCTGCTTCCTGAGAGATTTGTCCTCCTTCCCTGTACTGAGTCTGTTCTGCATTTATGGGATTTCTACTTTGATTTGAACAGACAGGGCTCCTTTCTGGTTTATGATATCTCTATCTTTGGCCTGGCATAGATTTGCCTTCTGCCTCTACCTCCCTTTTCCTTTCTGCCTGTTCCATGGTTTTACCTCTAAGGGGGGGGCTCTAGGGCTGAACTGACAACATTTGCTGAGCAGCACACTGGCAGATGGTCTTTCCTCTTAACTCTGCCTCATCTCCCTGTTTATATACCCCAGATGGAGTCAGAGAATAATTAAATTCTCTTTTGAGTATGAAAAATTTGTGACACTAATCAGATCTCTGATCCATTTCATTAAATCAACTGGTTTGACTTAAAGACAATAGAAGAAGGAGGTCTTGAGGGATACTTCTCTTTTGAATGCTTAGAATGAAAGGATTTAGAAATGTAGTAGCCATAAAATCACACACTCTTATCCCCAGCAGCCTCTTTTCCTTATAGTTATTCCTAATGCTAGTAGAAGAGGTAGTTAAGAACATGGAATCTTGGGGGTGGGGGTGGGGGGAACATGGTATCTAGAATTGGACTGCATGCATTTGAATCATGGTCCTTCCTCTTATCTCCCATGTGACCTAAGGCAAATTACTTTAACCCTTCTATGCCTCTTTCCTCATCTGTAAAAATGGGGATAATGATAAACAGTACCTATTTGAAAGGGTTGTTGTTATGTGGGTTGAATGCAATGCCAGTGCATGTTAGCTATTATTATTGCTGTAACTTTGGTTGATGCACCCTTGTTACAGTCTTCAGGGGTGGTAGGACACTTCCTACCTGTTTTGTACCCTTTCTGATGAGACCCTGACAGAATAGAACCCAGCAAGCTAAGGAAGTAGCTAATGAGGTCCCCTAAAGGTCCTCCTCCAGGAGTCAGGCCTCACTAGAGAGAGAAGTGAGAAAGGCTCTAGGAGGAAGGAAGCACTGACCCCCACAGAAGAAATTAGCAAGCCCTCATGCCCTCTTTTACCTCCCCCAGGTGTGGCTCTGCTGAATAACACCTCCTTTTTCAATATTTGGCAGAAGCAAAGGGCAACCCAGAAAAAAGAAGAAAGACATTTAGTTAAGGAAGTTAGTTCAGTCCTGTCCATTCTGTTTGGGCACCTGGCCCCTTCCCTTCCCTTAGCACTTCTAGCCCTTGCTGCATCTGGCTGGATCAATAGAGGGCTGAAAACCTTTCGTTTCCAGACCGTTCAACCGAATCCATTCTGCACTGACCTTTTACTGGCAGAGGAAAAACAGATGGCCCCCACCTGGTTTTGCTCAGCTTGTGGCATCAAATGTTGTGACACTTCCTAAGAAGGGAGATGAGGGACAGAGATAGGACTAAGAGCCTTGCTCAGCAGGCTTTCCTGCCTTATTAGAGGGTAGCTCTATTCCTTTTCGCTATTCTGTGTGACATAGCAAGGAAGAGGTTTGGAGTGGGAGAGCCCTGTAGAAGGAAAGAGTTTAGAATAGAAAATCACTCATTTATTACCATACAGTATCCTGTGGGTGTGGTTTAACTTGAGACCCTTGGGGGCAGAGACCCACTGTGGGTCTTACCCTGTTTTCTGGCTGCTCACAAACCTCACTTCTCACAGTGTTACCGGGACTTGGCTCTGGTGAGTCGTGATGGCATGAATATTGTCCTGAATAAAATCAACCAGATTCTCATGGAGAAGTATCTGAAGTTGCAGGATACCTGTCGTACTCAGGTAAGGCCAGGAAGAAGAGAAAATCCAGCTCAACAACATATAGAGGATGGATACTTTCTCTTAGGGGGAAGGGAAGGAGGAATCAGGAGTAACTCACCCTACCATTGTGTACCTCAATTATAATGGGATTGAATTATCCCCATTCTCAAATGTGCAGCCCCTGCTTTTCAGCTGTCTTCTCTTCTCTCCTTTAGTTGGTGTGGTTGGTACGGGAACTAGTGAAGAGTGGGGTTCTGGGAGCCGATGGTGTTTGCATGACATTCATGAAGCAGATTGCAGGTGAGTTGATGGCAGGAGTATAAAGAAGAAAGGAGAGAAGCCCAGAGACTAAATCCAGGTGGTGTGGAATTATTATATGCCTGAAAGACTCAATTCCTGGATTGCTTAGACTCTTCTTTTGACACAGACATCTTCTGGCCACATATGTTGCAGAAAGGAATTGATTGAAGTCACAGGGGGCCTTTTGAAGCAATAAGTCTTGCCTCATTTTCCTTCCTGCCAAACCCAGGGCCTGACGTAGAATATTTGGTCTGTTTTAGCTAGTCCTCATTCCGGGGTTTCGTGACATATTGGATTAGAAAGGGGGAGAAAAGAAGGCAAATAATTTGTTCCTGTGTTCATTATGCTTTCAGACCCAGACATCTTCTCTGGCTCCACCCCCATGTTCTAAACACTTGCTCTCAAATAATTATGGCATCAAATTGGGCCCAGTCTGAGGGACAAACCATATCACACAACAGACCCTGACATTTAGGTTTTATTATCATCTTGGCATTGATGGCATCGTCTGAGCCACAGAATATCTAAGAAGCCTGCCCATACTAACTCTTTTACCCTCAAAATTACATGTGTTTATTTAAAAATGAGCCTGCCTTTATTTCTCCAATGGGTGCTAGGATTTATATAACGCTGATGCTCATGTTCTGATGTGTATGAACCTTAATCTATGTGATGTGTGACTATGTGAACATTGGATTTTTTAAGTGCGACCTGGAATAAGGCATAGCATTATTGCTGGCTAGTCTTAGCCTCTCTCCTGGTGCTTTCTTCCTTGCTTGGCCCTCCCAGTCACTACTTCTCATCCCAAGACTTTGGTTTGGGTTTGTTTCCTGGTGATTCTGCCTCAGGAAATTCAGTAGCAAGCACCAAAGAGAATGGTACTTGAAAATAAAAACCTTTAGCCTGTTGTGAGTCTGAGCACAGGACTTAGGACATCTGGATGCTAGGCTGCACTTATTACCAGCCACCCATACCTCTCAGGCCCTAGCTGAGATAGCATCCTTTCTTTCAGCCTTGGGCTTCTCATGTCTCCTTCCCAGACATTGCCTTTCAAAGGCCAACATGTTCCCATGGCAACCCTCCAGTCTTTGGAAAAGTAGCAGCTCTGAACTTTGGAAAAATCTATAACCTTCCTTTCCCCTTCTCTCTGGGGGCAAAGAAGAAACTTGAAAGCCTCAGGACAGGGTAGTTTATTCCAGCACTTAGGATGGTAGTGATGGGATAGCCAGTAGGAGTGGGTCGGCAGGATGAGTGAAGAGATATATTGGATTAGCTGGGTCGCTAATCATAGCCATTCTGATTCTCTTATTTTTTTTTTCCCCATTGAAATCAGGTGGGGATGTTACAGCAAAAAATATCTGGTTGGCTGAGAGTGTTCTGGATATCCTGACGGAGCAGAGGTAGCGTGAAGGCGGGGGCAGGAGCCAGAAACGGCCATGAGGGGTGTTAATGTGGAAAATGGGGATGAAAGAATTGTATGAAGACTGGTAGGTGGTCTAGAAACACCATAAGTTAGAGAAGGGGAGGAGAGGGGTAGAAGGGGCAAGTGAAAGAATTAATGCCATGGTATGGCCCTAGAGATGATGGAATGGGAGAGAAGGTTTTTACTAAAATATCTCAGAGCCCAGGAAAAGCTAGTTTCATCTGATAAGGGTTTATTTTTGATCCAGACCTCCTTGGAATGTTTATCTTTGGTGGTAGTGGGGTTGGGGAGAGGGTGGAATGGCCTCAGCAGAGTGGGGCCAGCCAACCACCCAGGCCTGGCAGGTATGTATCCCTTTCTCCTTTCTGAGCCTCTCAATCCATCCAACCCATGCTGTTTTGAAGTGACCACAGGCAGGTGGGAGTGGGGTGCAGTGAGGAGGTAATGGAGACCATTTAACTCTGTTAGAGTTTGCATCTAGGGAGCCCTGGTGGCACAGTGGTTAAGTGCTCAGCTACTAACTGAAGGTCAGCAGTTTGAACCCACCAGCCTCTCCATAGGAGAAAGATGTGGCAGTCTGTTTCTGTAAGGAATACAATTAGAAACCCTGTGGAGACACTTCTGCTCTGTCCTATAGGGTCACTGAGTCGGAGTCGACTCCATGGTAATGGATTTGGTTTGGGCTTAGATTTGCATCTAGGTCTTGGAGGTAGAAGGTGAATAATGGGGGCATATTGGGCTTTCTGGATGAGTCTTTTCCCTTACTCATCAAAGTAAAGGACCATAAATTCTTGAGGTCTGTTCCGTATCCAAACTTGTTTCAGGGTGAGGCCTTCCCATTAGTCCTGTGGTCTGGGTTTTCCTATAGCTTGGTTTCAGAGTCTATTTCTGGATGAAGACACCATAGTAGTCAAATGACTGTGTGGGCTAATAGTACTCATATTTCCTACTGCTTAGAAGACCAGACCTCCTTCCATTATTCAGTCCCTTGTGAAAGATGTCTAGGGTCTGTGTTCTGCCCAAGCCTGAGAACTGTGCCAGGTCTGCTGTGCAGTGCCACCTAGTGCCCTGGGAATAGGTATGCAGCTCCACCTGGGGCTTAGAGGCACCTCCTCTGTTACTGGTACCTTTGAGGTTCTAGCAGTTTCTCACCAGGCCTCTGTGCCTTTCTGCTATCTTTGGGTAAGAGGATCTCACCTTCATCTCACTGCTCCTCTTCATTACCCCACCCCAAGATTCGCATACATTCATTACCTCTCCTAGCAGCCTTCCTACAGAGTGATTTTGCTCATTCTATTCCTGGAGCTAAATATTCCTGTTCCCATTATCTCAAAGCTGCATTTCCCTCATTTGGGCAACTTGTTCTCACACCCTTCAGAAACTGACATCTATTGGTGACAGTTAGTACCTAGAAGTTTAAAACTGTTGTCTTCCAACCCTCCCTCTCATTCCCTTTCAAGTGTTTCTAGGGCTGTAGAGGTAGAAGGCAGCAGGAGGCGGAGGGGGCCCTTCCCACTGTCCTTGACTTATGCTTTCATTCTGTGAAAGGAAAAGGCCAAAGCCTTTTAATTAGGTAGCCTGAGCACTTTTCCGGAATCAGGATGTTGCCTGGTTGGATTAATTAAACTCCCTGTCTTCTTCCTCCAGTACTCTTTCTGCCTTTCTAACAGGACTGCCAAACCTTTACAGACTCCCTGCTTTCGAGATAGCTCCTCAGTTTTGGTGCACAGGGACAGCATTGGGGAGTTTTAGGAATCTCCTCACTCTGCCTATCTTCCTACTCCTTTTAAAGCAGCAGGGAAGAAATCCTTCTTTCCTCAACCCCTCTCTCCATGGAAATTTTAAAATGGTCTTTGCCATCCAAAATCACATTCTTCTTTTCAGTTTGTGATTTGGGGGGGTGCCTCATTGTCTGGGGTAGGATCAGTGACTAGAGAGAGGACCATGGAAAGGTTTGTGACATGATGGGCTGCCAGTGACAAGCATGCTAGACATGCTGGCACAGTTGTGTCCTAAGAATTCCAGGGCTCTGAAAGGGACTTTGGAATCCCCCAGGGGTGTCAGACCACACTTCGAGAACTCCTTTCCCCATAGCATGAGCTGGGTAGAAGCAGTGGCTTGTCTCCGTCCCTAGAACCTTACACAGCACTGGGTACGTGATTCTAAAACCCACTGTCATCAAATCGACTCTGACTCATAGTGACCCCCTAGAATAAAGTAGGCTTGCCCCATAGGGTTTCCAAGGCTGTACATCTTTATGGAAGCATACTGTCACATCTTCCTCCTGTGGAACAGCTGGTGGGTTCCAACCCCCAAACTTTTTGGTTAGTGGCCGAATGCATTAACCACTGTGCCACAAGCACTGTTTTTGGGTATATGATAGGCACTTGGTAAATGTTGAATGAATGAGTCAACAAACAAATTTTTTTATTGGGAGCTGATTACTAAGTGGTAAGAAAAGATTGCTTTTACTCAGCTGTTATCTTTATTGGGCACCTTTATTAGGAAGTTGGCCTACCTTAGTTGGTTGCTAGTCCAGGATAGGTAATGACGAACAATTAGGAACCAAGGAACCTATTGTTGTTATGTGCCATCGAGTCAGACCTGACTCATGGTGACCCCCCCTTGGGTTTCCGAGATGCTATCACTACGGAAGTAGATTGACCAACCTTCCTTCCAAGGAGTGGCTGGTGGGTTTGAACCGCCAGCCTTCTGGTTAGCAGTCAAGTGCCTTAGGCACTATGCTACCAGAGCACCCATAAAAAACCTATACTAGTGTCTAATCAGACATACCTGAGGCACTGGAGCCAAGTCCAGGAAGGGTGAGCTGGGGGGTGACTACCTGTAGACAAAGTACAGTACCAGGTCTTCTCTCCCTTCAGGGAATGGGTGCTGAAGAGCAGCATCCTCATTGCCATGGCTGTTTACACATACCTCCGCCTCATCGTGGACCATCATGGGACTGCCCAACTGCAGGCCCTACGGCAGAAGGAAGTGGACTTCTGCATCTCACTGCTTCGGGAACGGGTGAGCAACTGGGACATATGCAGTGCAGGGAGGTGAGACCCAGCATGGGACATTTGTTGTGTAGGTTTTGTGTACTGACCTGAGCCAGAGGTGCCATTTGGGGAGATGATGTGGTTTGGGATATTGTCCTTTTTTCGCCATCCTTAGACAGGTGAGGGTCACAGGGAAAGGTCGGCGTGGACCAATCGTGGTCCCTAGAAGTGCTGCCTATAACATTGATGCCCTGGACATTTTCCTGGTAAGCTCATGGCCACTGTTAATATACTACAGACAAGCGATTCTTGTGTGCCCATGGTCATGAGATCCCCCCACTACCCACCTGGGTAATTGCCGCAGTCAAGGGGATTGTGAATAGTCCACTATTCCAATCTTCTGAGAGATAGTTCCAAGAATTATGCTGTCTTAATACAGTACCCACTAACCACATGTGGCTATTTAAATTAAAATTAAATAAAGCTAAGAATTCAGTTCCTAAGTTGTGTTAGCCACATTTGAAGTGCTCATTTGCCATGTTGGACATCACAGATGCAGATCATTTCCATTACTGCAGAATGTTCTCTATGACAGAGTGAGTTTTGAGGTAGGGTGCCTGGGGCTCGGTTTGCCAGTCCTATCCTTTTGGAATCTTAGTGCCCCTTGACCTGAATCGAAACAAGTCTCAGTGGAATGGGGAATAGATTGAGGTGAAAGCCAGCAGGGCTTCAGCAGTTCCCTGTAACTTCTTTTCCTTGATATCAGTCACCAATTTCCAGTTCTCTCTCTTCCCCCTGAACAGCTAGGAGCCAAACCCTGGGTTCCAGAAGAAATCATATAGTCCCATCCCTTCAACCCTCTTTCCTTCCTTTCCTAGAACATGTTGTTCCTTTGTCCTCCCTCCAGCAGGTAAACAATCCATGTTTTTATTCTCTTTCCTGCCCCCCTTTCCTCCTCCTCCCCATCAAGTTCATGGAATGTTTGATGATTGGCCGGGACCTCGTAAGGCTACTTCAGAATGTTGCTAGGATACCAGAATTTGAACTGCTTTGGAAAGACATTATCCATAACCCTCAGGCTTTGAGTCCCCAATTCACAGGTAAGTAAGGACCCAGGCAGCCTGTCCTTGAGAGGCAGGAGGTCAGTATATATGTACTGCTTGAATCGAGAGGGCAAAGGAGAGTCCTTGGCAGTCAGATATAGGAACCTTGAGACAGACAGACTCTGCCAAGTACAGCTGGATGTGGGAATGGCAGAGGTACAGAACAATTCACTCGGTTCCTAGACAGCCCCTACTTGGCAGACTCCAGCTGCATTAGTCCTAAGAAAGAAGTGAGACAGAATTGTGTGTGATCCTCCTCCCTCCCGGCAGTGCCTTGGCTCAGGAGGTGAGCTGATGGCCAGTTTCCAGCTTCACAGAGTCCGGCAGGGGAGTCAGAGGTCAGCTCGTGAGACTGAGTCAGCAGAGGGGCTGGAATTAGTCCTGTAAGAGAAGGCCCCTCCCTGGAAGCAATCTTGCCTCTAATTCTGAGGATCCAGCTTTGCCAACTCCTCTTTGGGAGAGGGAAAGAGTCTCTGTGTACCTCCCCTGACAAGATTCTTTTCCTGTCCTTTTCCCTTTCCAATGCCCTGCTTAATAGTCTGAACAATAACTGTACAGCTTTGCTGCCTACCCCAGCTCCCCCACACATGTGCACACCTCATCCACATATACCACACACACATGCACACACCTCATACACATATACTTTATATACTCACAACTCAGAGACACACCTCATGCACACCCATACAGACTGAAAGCGGTAGTTCTGGAAGGAAGAAAGGAAAGTCCCGATACTACCCAAAGCAGCTCTTATATTGAACATGTATTGGGTTATTCTGAGTGCCTACGGTGTGTCATTTTAATTCATTTTATCTTTAGGACAGTCCTGTAACATGGATATTGCTTTCCATGTTTTACAGATAAGGAAACAGGTTCAAAGAGATTCAGTATAATTTTCCCAAGGCCACACAACTAATAAGTCTGAATGTCTGAGGCAGGATTTAGGCCCAGGTTTGTCTGACTTAAAAACTCTTGCTTACACCACACCCAGGACCCAGTGATCAGTAGCAAGAAGAGGGGCTGGGTTTCCCATATTTCCTCATGACCTTCTCACATGTAATCAATCCAAATAATGTGAATAGGGGGCTCTGGAAGACCAGGAGGACAAGGGAATTAATATAGCTGGGTCTTGGGAATGGTGGTTTGGCAGAGCAGAACACACTGACGCTGGTGAAAACCTCCTACTTGACCTCCTTAGGTCTTGTCTTAGGAGTTCCCCAAGAACAAGACCACTGGGCATTCAGTACCTGGGCCAGGTTCCCCACCTGCCTTCCATGACCTTTGAGCCTCAGACTTCTTTCTCTTTCTCTTTTCTTCCACATATGGTTCAGGTATCTTACAGCTTCTTCAATCAAGAACATCCCGAAAATTCCTAGCATGTCGTCTAACCCCAGACATGGAGACTAAGCTCCTCTTCATGACATCCCGGGTAAGCTGGCCTATTGTGTGTGGCAGAGAGAGACAACACAGGTGCTAGCTAAGCTTCTTCCTTCAGTCTGCCTATCAGTGAACATCAAGCACTGACCAGTGGAATGCTGGCCTGGTATCTGCTGGCTGCTTTCCTTTGTGCCTGCTTCTCCAGCATCTCTTATCATTCATGCTTAGTGCTAAGAACTGGGGATACCCTTGATGAAGAGAGACAACTCCTGCAAGAGAGAGACAACTCCTGCTCTTAGGAAGTTTTCAATCTGAGACAGTCTTAACTAACAATAGTCTACAGATAATGGGTGAGATGTGCTACAGAAGGTGTCTTAGTTCTCTAGTGCTGCTGTGACAGACATACCACAAGTGGATGGCTTCAGCAAACACAAGTGTATTCTGTCACAGCTTAGGAGGCTAGAAATCTGAGTTCAGAGCACCTACTCTAGGGGAAGGCTTTCTGTCTCTGTCTCCTGGGTCCAAAGCATACACTCTGCTTCTGGCTCCTCTTTCTTGGTGGTAGTAGGGCCCCTTTCTCTGTTCTCTTCTCTCTCCTTTTATCTCTTGTAAGATAAAAGTTATTGCAGGCCACACCCAGGGAAAGCTCCCCTTGCATCATATCAGGGCTGTGATGGGACTAAGAGTGTTACATCCTACTCTTAATCCTCTTACATCTGATTGGCTTATCACATCCCATCCCATCATAGGGTATCATTACGTATGTGCCACATTACATTATTACATAACTGCTAAACCATGGGAATAATGGCCCAGCCAGGTTGACACAAGTTTTGGGGGGACACAGTTCAATCTATGACAGAAGACAAAAGGGGGAAATTGTGAGTGTTCATTCTAGGAAACCCGGGGTTCCTCTGGGTGAACTATGAGCTCTCAGGATGAAAGGAATCGTTGTACTATGGCCTTTTGGTTTCTACACATGGATAAATTATAGCAGAATTGCTTGAGAGCATAGTAAAAATGCAGGTTCCTGGATTGCACTCTCCAGAGAATCAGATTGTAGAATCTGTATTTTTAGGACTCCTCAGGTAACTCCCCTGCAGCCCATCTATCGTTAGGAAACCTTCCATGTGACCCACCTTGCAGTTTCGCAAGTCATCCAGTGAAGCTGTCTATATCAGTGCTATGCCTCATGATAGTCACTAGCCACATATGGCAAATTAAATTAGTTAAAATTAAGTTAAATTGAAAACCTCAATTCCTGGATTTCAGTGGTCACCATCATTGCAGAAAGTTTGATTGGACTGTGTTGGTCTGGATTGATTGATGGATGATGGATTTTAACCTTTCTGCTCTATGGAGCTCTGGTGGCGCAGTGCCTAACGCATTTGACTGCTAACCAGAAGATTGGCGGTTTAAACCTACCAGCTGTTCCATGGAAGGACATGGGGCAATTTACTTCCATAAAAATTTTCCACCTCAAAAACCCAGTGGGGGTTGCTATGAGTAGGAATTGACTTGATGGCAGTGAGTTTGGTGGTGTTTGTTTATTCCCCACCCCCTCTGTTTGGTTGCTTTCTTCTCACAGATAAGGGAATGAGAGAGGGAGGAAACAGGTCCTCCCCCTTATTTAGTGTTGCTGTTTGTAACCATTTAGGGTCTGTTTCGGGGTGGGACTCGGTTGCAAGACAGGGAGTCTATGCACCCTGGATAATGGTCCTGTTAGGTCCTTTAGCACCAGAAGACATTCGGTCAGTGCTGAGTGGTGGACGGGCTCGGGCCATGTTCTTGAGAACCATTTCTTGCTCTTCACCAGTGGCCCAAGAAATGAAGAAATGATTAAGCTTATGACTGGAAAATCAATGACCAATGCAGGAATAAAGAGCCCAAAATTGACTCCAGTGGCAGTTGGGGTTAAATGAAGCATGAGGTAGATGGCAAGAATGAATATGGTTACTCGTGTGTGAGGCAAGCTAGAGAGACTCTCAGCATTTTTAAAAATTAAACTGGCAAGTCTCCCAAGAGACCTGAGAGCCAGTGTGAGTTAATAAGTAGATTATTGCAGTCCATTTCGGACTTATGAGTTGAATGGTGCTCATTTTGCTTTGCTGGGAGTCCCTCACTCTCCCCTCCAAATTTTTCTTTTCTGCTTCCCTTGCCCTCAGGTGCGATTTGGTCAACAAAAGCGATACCAAGATTGGTTCCAGCGGCAGTACCTGTCAACCCCAGATAGTCAATCTCTGCGCTGTGACCTCATTCGCTACATCTGTGGGGTTGTCCACCCATCTAATGAAGTCCTGAGTTCAGACATCCTGCCCCGTTGGGCCATCATTGGCTGGCTCCTGACGACGTGCACTGTGAGGGGCTGGGCCATGGGGTAGAAGATGTTGGGTGGTAGTGAAAGGTGCTTCCTCCCTCATGTTCCCCACATTCCCAGCCTTCTCTGTGACTCTCAGGAGCCATCTGACCCCGAAAGGCCTTTCTTTCACTCTGTTCCTGTTGAATGTCTCAGTCTTTTGCCCCACCTTCTTTTGTAACTGTGGAAGTTTACTTGTGCTCGTTATTTCCCATCCATGTTTGGCATTGAACAGACTCATCTGTGCCCTTATTGTCAACACCAAAGCCCAGATAGCACATAGGGTTATCCTCTGAATTGATCCTTTATCAAATTCAGGATTTGGATTTTTTTAGACCATTTCTCCGTGCCTTTTGGCCTCAGTTCTGGATATTTCTCTTCTCCAAACATAATGAATCCATGGTGGAGCTGTTTCCCTCCCAGCATTTTCCTTTCCCCTGTGCCCTGGGTGAGAAACTGTGTGTTCTCTTGTACCCAGTTGCCCCTTGACCTCTTCTGACATGGTTCTTTCTCCTCCCCCCTCTGACTAGGCCCTCAAAACGTGCTGACTCAGATATGACAACAGGCTCTTCTTAAGGGTGGTTTCTCTTCAAAAATGTGGCTGAGGAGCCCAGCAAGGGATGCCCAGGGGCTGGTGTTGCATTAGCTCGTGGATGACCACAGGACTCCTGAGCCCAAGTGGTCTCCCTTATCAGGGTCAGGGGTGGTTTTGCTAGTATATGAAGAACCCAGGTTGATCCCCCATTCCCTGGGTGGGTGAGACCACAGGGTAATCATATGCAGCACAGACTTGTGTGCCCCTCACCCCTGTGGGATTTCCACTCTTTCACTAGGAACTGCGTTGGGCCTCTGAAGGGAAGGGGGCTGGTTGATGAAATGAGCCCTCTTTTTCCCCCCCTCTCTCTTTCAGTCAAATGTTGCTGCCTCTAATGCCAAGCTGGCTTTGTTTTACGACTGGCTGTTCTTTAGCCCAGACAAGGATAGCATTATGAACATAGGTATGTGCCTGAAACCAGGCAGCGCCACTTCCCCATCCCCCAAGCCCCTGCTGCCTTGTCTTAGTGATAGCAGTTATAAATCACAGCACAGCGTGGAGTGGAGGCAGCTTATCTAGGAGCAGTTCCGTTGTTGCTCATCAGTTCTCCCTTGACCTAGAAGGAAAATTGCTTTGATGAGGCCAAGCGGTCACTCCACCCTTCTCTCCACAGTCTTATGCTTGGGCTTTGGCTGGGGAGGGCCTTCGTGGAGGAGAAGCTGTACCCATGTCCTGTTTTTCTTCTCCTACCACCTCTGTCCTCCAAACTGAACAGTGGGGGCAAAAAGAGAAATTAGGAGCTAGAAGAGCTATTTTTGAGGTTGTCTGTTCAGTGGGAGTGGGGAATAGAAGCAGCTCTCTCCCAAGCTATTTTTATATTAATACCCCATTTTATGGAGATGAGAATGGACTGTGTGATGTGGGGGGACCCTTTAATTCCACATTCTCCAGAGCCAGCCATCCTGGTCATGCATCATTCTATGAAGCCCCACCCAGCCATCACTGCCACACTCCTGGATTTCATGTGCCGAGTAAGTGCCAAGGCCCTCTTTGCTCCCCATTCCTACATGAGCAGAGTTGGGTGTATCTCCCTTCCTACCTTATATCTCCCAGTGATTGGTTGTTCCTAGTGCCTTTTGATGGTGGGAACAGAAGCAGTGATAGGTCCTAACCCCCAAGTTAGCAAATACTTCCTTTCCTGTGCCCATGGTCTCCAGTTAGACTGTTCATAGAGTTTCTCAGCCTCAGAGATGACAACTCAAGATAGTCCGCTTGAGGAGCTGACAGGTCCAGTAGGAGTTTCCCATTTCAGGGACCTGGAACAGCCAGAGCACCCCAGTCCTCTGCAGCCATACTTCCCAGCAACCCTGAGTCCGGGCTGAAGCAGCTTTTTTAGATCGGGTTCAGTGGAACACTAGGGGTGGGGAGTCTGTGCTCATCTGGCCTCCCCCCTTCTGTTCCAGATCATTCCTAACTTTTATCCACCATTGGAAGGCCACGTGCGGCAGGGTGTCTTTTCCTCCCTCAACCACATTGTGGAGAAACGGGTCTTGGCGTAAGAAATTTATGTGTGGGGAGAGGGCATTGTTTTCCCATTTTTCATTAGGTCTAGCCACCTGTGGGCCAGGCACGCCCAGACACTACCATACCATTACTGAGCCTTTCCTGTGAGAGGTATAAGAATTACAGAGTGCTGGGCGTGTGTCCTCCCTCTGAGAAGCATTTCTCTCTTGGCATCATACACAAAGGGTTTCAGAGGCCTTTCCTATCTCCTGTTGACCCCTCCTAAGTATAGCCCATCCTCTCTCTATACATACTGGTTGGGCCTAGATCTTTCTTTGTAACTGAATGTTAGTTACCTCTGAATGGATACCTCTGATGCTGACTTTCATTTATGTTCCTTATCAGGCATTTGGCTCCCCTGTTTGATAACCCGAAATTGGATAAGGAGCTGCGGGCAATGCTGAGAGAGAAGTTTCCTGAGTTCTGCAGTTCACCCTCCCCACCTGTGGAAGGTATGGAAGCCTCACCTGCTTCATAAGAGAGGAGTGGATGATGGCATCGGGGCTCTCAGGCCCCAGCCCCTGTGAGGATCGTCCCTGTGCCATTTCTCCACCGCTGTGACCTTGTTCATCTCGGCATCTGCTTCCCCAGTTTTTTTCTATTCTTCTTTGTGCTATCTTTCTTATTAACCTCTTCCGTGGAATGTGTGCTTATCCCATTTTCACTTTGCCTTTTTCTTCTCTCTTCTTAGTGCTAGGTCCTGGCCCCAGATGAGAAATTGTCATATTGGGTCTCAAATCTTGCTCGCAGTTTCAGACAGGCTGCTACCCTCCCACTTCCACCCCTAGTGGGCTACGGGATAAGACAAGCAGAGCTCCCTGACTCTGGCTCTAAAAGAGTCCTTTGGAACTGTCTCTGGTTTTACTCTACTCCTTAATCCTGAGCTGAACATAGAGGAATCATGTCCTGTGCTGTTCTTATCCCTGGCAAAACCCCCCTGCAAATCCTGGAGGGTTGTAAGGACAGGAGATTTGTCCTTCCAAGGTCACTATTCCATTTAGGTTATAAATTTATTCTCCCACTTGACCTCCAGTCTGCCATCCCCAGAGACATGGAGAGGATTAGAGGACACAAGAGGCCTTGAAATGCCTTGTCTTTCTTTACTCCCAAGTTAAAATTGAGGAACCAGTTTCCATGGAGATGGACAACCACATGTCAGACAAGGATGAGAGTTGCTATGATAATGCAGAGGCAGCCTTCAGTGATGATGAAGAGGATCTGAACAACAAAGGTGAGGGCGCAGCTGCAAAGGGATAGCTCAGGTCTGTGGCCATCCTAGGAGGACCAGTTCACAGGAGCAGCCTCCCTGCAGTCTCTGTCACCTGTGCCCCTAAGAGTTCAAGCCCAAAACCAGACTCACTGCCATCGAGTCAATTCCGACTCATAGCGACCCCCTTTGGGTTTCCGAGGCGGTAAATCTTTACAGAAGTAGATTGCCCAGGCTTCCTTCCACTGGAGTGGCTGGTGGGTTTAAACTGCCAGCCTTCTGATTAGCAGTCAAATGCCTTAGCACTGCGCCACCAGAGCTCCTTGTGCCCTAGCACTGCGCCACCAGAGCTCCTTGTGCCCCTAAGTTAGGGCTTTGTTAATAGGCTCACTGCCTGAGCCTCCAGGGTGCAGAGCCCTGCAGTTGGCACTGGAGACAGAAGGGAAAAAGGGGGTGTGGTTCCTGCCCCTCTTTCCTTCTCGGGGCTGGGGCATGTGTACCTTCAAAGAAATGCTTCAGGTACTCACATAGCATTGAACAAACAAGCGCACACTAAGGGCATGTGAAGAGGGGAGAGGTGTTTAAGGGGGACTTTCTCTGTGTCTGGTGTCTGGTCAAGACTGACTTTTATTTTTCCCTAAATCTCTCCCTTCAGGAAAGAAGAGAGAGTTTCGCTTCCACCCCATCAAGGAGACGGTGGTGGAGGAGCCCGTTGATATCACCCCTTACCTCGATCAGTTGGATGAGTCTCTAAGGGACAAAGTGCTCCAGTTACAGAAGGGGAGGTATGCAGGCCCTGCTCTCAGCTCTGGAAGGCCCCACACCAGGCTTTTTACCTGCTGTTAGTGGGAGTGGCAGGCTAATGGGCTTTGTTGGGGGATGGACTGAATAGAAGTTGAAACTTCGTGAGAGATCTGTTTAGTAGCTTAGGCTGGGGCAGTATGGGGTGGGAGTTGTTGTGGTTGTCGTTATGTGCCCTCGAGTAGTACTCAACTCATAGCAATCCCTCCTTGGGTTTCCGAGGCAGTATCACTACGGAAGTAGATTGCCCAATCTTCCTTCTGAGGAGTGGCTGGTGGTTCAAATCCACCAGTAAGCTTCTGGTTAACAGTTAAGTGCCTTAGGCACTATGCTACCAGAGCTCTAATTCCCTAGCACCCTGGGTTTTTATTCCATAGATTCTTGGGAGAAAAATCTTTGAAAACCAAAGTGGGTTGATGGGAATTTCCCCTTTTCTTTGGGCCTCTACCCAGACTGCAGCAAATTCAGCCCTCCCCCTCCCCACCCAAGCGTGGATTTCACATAGAGCTCCTTTGTTTTGTCCCTGTGCCTGTGAGTGTGCTTATGCACACTGTTCTGGGTGTGTGTCCTGCCCTCTGCTATCATTTATGTCCCTGGGATTTCCTCTCACTTGTGTACTGCAGTGATACGGAGGCCCAGTGTGAGGTCATGCAGGAAATTGTGGACCAGGTCCTAGAGGTGAGTGGGAATCCAACCCCTTAGGGAGGAAACAGCCCAGCTTAGAACTCCCCACGCAGATGTATCACAGGGAGGCTGATGTCCTTCCCCTCCCCCAGATGGGTCCCTTCTGATGACTGGGGGAGCTTGCTGATTCTGGAAATGGAAGCAGATGAGCTCAGAGGCTCTGGGGTGGTAGGGGAAGTAAGGCTTGGGTCTAAGTACTGATTCCCCCGTCCTTGTCTCACACCCAGGAAGACTTTGACTCGGAGCAGCTGTCTGTCCTTGCTTCCTGCCTGCAGGAGCTCTTCAAGGCCCATTTCCGAGGGGAAGTGCTGCCTGAGGAGATCACTGAAGAGTAAGGCTCATCTTTTCTGGCCCCCTGGGCCTCGGGGAGCCAGAAGTGTGCTCTTGTAGCCTAATTAAGCTTTACTGCAGACTTAAGAAAAGTAATTTGTTCCTCTGGTGTTTTTATTCTCACATGTATCGATTCACGTAGCAAGGATTTATTATTGCCTGCTGCATGCTGTGCTTACTGGGACAGTGGAGTAGTGTCCCTTCCCGTGCTTCCAGCCGCAGCTGCCAGGCCCAGTAGCCCCAGCCTTTGATGCTTCAGGTGGGATGGGACTCTGGCCTGGACTCTGCCTGCAGGGCAAGACTCTCAGCTTTGATGATGATAACCTCAAAGTATGGTTCCATGTTTTCTGTGTTACCAAGCCTCTGGAGCCGCAGAGCCTGGTCCCCCATACTGCCTCCCTCACATGCACTCTGATGTAGAATCCTCCTCTTGTAGGTCCCTGGAGGAATCTGTGGGGAAGCCGCTCTACCTAATATTTAGGTATGTATATTACCTAAATTTAGGAATCCTACTGTGCCACTCATCCTCCCTAACAACACACACGTGCTCCTGTTGTTGGGCTGTGAAACTCCCTATTTGGGAGGAAAGCAGTACACGTTGGGCACAAACAGCCTGTGCCACCCCAGAAGCTCCACAGGAGAGTCTGCTGTGGGTAAAGTGCTACTTCGCTCCTTTCCTCCCAGGAACCTGTGCCAGATGCAGGAAGACAACAGCAGCTTCTCCCTGCTTTTGGACCTTCTCTCCGAGTTATACCAAAAGCAGCCCAAGATTGGCTACCATCTGCTTTACTACCTGAGAGCCAGGTGGGTATGGTCCCCAGATTTAAGGAGGTGTCGGGAAGTATCCTGGAGAGCCTCTTTACTACTGTACCCTGACTCCCCCACCCTTGGGGTGTTTGATTATTATTATTTTTAAATAATAGCTTTGTTGTTGTTGTTGTTATGTGCCGTCGAGTCAGCCCTGACTCATAGCGACCCCTCCTTGGGTTTCCGAGGCAGTATCACTACGGAAGTAGG